TGGATAGAATATCCTTCAACCAAGGTATTATATATCCTTGATAGAATGCCCTGGCCGTTGCACTGAATGAGAGCGTACATTTGGACTGACAGTTTGATCAACCAATCATATATTGATTTGTAGCCAATGGGCGTATTCTTTCAGAGTTTCCCTCGGTTCCAGGGTACTCTAGAAAGCCCGGTAGTTAACTGTCTCGAGACAGAGGATCTAGATCAGGGGTCTCCAACCTTTCTTCATCTGAGAGCTACTTTCAAAAAATGAAAGTGGCCAAGAGCTACTTGCATCACATCGCTTACATTTATTCACATAGCCCTCATCAGTTGAATTAAGCTATACTTTTGTACACGTGTGAAATTGCAATACCTAAAGCTTATCAAAAATAAGGTCCAAGAAAACGAAGATTTCTCACATATTATTATGGCCCACATAATAAGTACATCACTGAACATTCACATAAGTGTCCTTAATCACCACCTTACAAGCATTTCACTCTTTTGTTAGTGAGATTAATGGCACTGCATACAGTCCACCATAGAGGTGTATGCTGGACCCACTTAGGTTCACTTAATAGAGTCATTTAAATGTTCATCAGTCGGTCTTGTTCTGTATTTAGATTTCATTCATGTCAGAAAAAGCTGCTTCACAAAGGTATGTAGAACAGAACCAAATAAAGCAGACATTTTCAGTGCTGCTTGGTGAATGTTCTTATAGTTTTCTGGGTCTACAAGGCTCCAGAAATGTTGTGAGTTTTGCTGAGACTTAAGCTGAACATTATTTTGGAGATCTCCACAGGATTGACACTGAACAGTTGTTCAGCCATCTTTTTCTTCTTCTTCTTCGTCTTGACATTAAATTATAAACCATAATAAATCAATTGTATAGGTCTAGCCTCCCTATATCTGTGTGTGAAAATGGTTCCATCCTCAAAAACAAAAAACTAATACTTCTGCAGTCTAGCTGCAGCTTCTAGCAACGGTCTTCTGTTAAAAAAAAGACACACATGACTTGAGTCTGAAAACAGCAGGAGTATTTACAATAGCATTATAAAAACAAAAATAGTGCATGTGGGTGCACACTTACATTCTCTGTCTTACTGTTACATAAATCCCATGAATGTATGAGATTAAGTTAGCTTCATCATATCTCAATCAGTGATTAAGTGAATAATAAAGTTTCTATCGGGTCACTATCAGCCTGTCACTCATTATTTTCAGGGAGGGGGCGGGGTTTGGAGGAACGGAGAGGAGACGGTGATCGCGGAAGCTTTCCTCCTGCCTTCACAAACTTTACACAAGTATTTATCAACTGAAAATAGCAAGAGGACATTCATACTCTGCAATCCAAGACTTGATTAAATTCACCAAAAACCTGACATGACGATAACGAGTGTTTTTCAAAAAACACAAATCCCTCCCTGTGTGTCTCTGAGGCGCAGCGACAGGGCCTGATTCAGAGCGGGTCATTCTGCTGTTAGTTCTGGACTCGTGCTGGTGGAGAAAGCAGACTGCTCCGTGTGTGTTGTCGCTGTGCTGCTGTCACGTCTGTTCCTTGATCTCTGCGTCACCGACCATTTGATATTCGTGTGACAGAAAAAAATCTAAAATAAAAAAACGTTATTGTCCAGCCGCGGCCGAAAAATCAATAAGCAACCTTACTACGCTATAATCGATAATCGAGCGGCGAGCTACTGAAAAGCTGCCCGCGAGCTACCGGTAGCTCGCGATCGACGTGTTGGAGAGCCCTGATCTAGATGAATGCGACGAAGCAATTCATATGCCGTTTTATTGTTTTTAACGTTGAAATGGCAAGTGCAACAGGTGAAGATGAAGATGTTGCGGAATTGTTGTGAGTACCCTTTTCAAGACGACCATTCAGTGAAAAGTCGGACATTATAACGGCGGGGGGGGGGGGGGGGGGGGGGGGGGGGGGGGGGGGGGGTCGCAGCGGCGGTGGGTGTGTGTGTCTACAGAAGGTCCAGTTGTGATAGACACGGTTCGCCACTGACACACACACACACACACACACTGCTTCAAAGGCCACTGAACTGAAGATCACTGTCAAGGCCCTGTGTGTGTGTGTGTGTGTGTGTGTGTGTGTGTGTGTGTGTTTGTTTTCAATCCTTTAGATTTTTTATTTAAGTATTTTTTACTTGTTCAGTTTGTGATTTTTGGTCAGATTACATGACATCACATTACATGTTACTTGTTAGACGCTTTTATCCAAAGCGACTTACATACTCAATACTGTGGGCAATCCCCACAGGAGCAATTTGGGGTGAAGTGTCTCAGGGACACAACGACATGCTGACTGCAGTGGGGTTTGAACCTGTGCTCCCCTGGTCCGAACACCAACGCACTAGCCCACTGCGCCACACGCCTCCAGATGAACCAAACCATCCGAGTGATTCAGGATGGTTTCACTATTTTCTAAATGTTTGATCAGCCAGTGACTGATTGAACAGAAGGATATTGACTCCACAATAATAAGGTTATATGCAGTCTTACATTGTGATAATTATCACTGAATATCAGCGACGTGCAGTCAGGGGAGGCAGGGGAGGCAGAGCCTCACCTGTCATACTCCAATGTAACGGAAAAACAACTAAAGAAAAACTAAATAGTAATAATAATAAAATGTCTCCACTGATCTGTGTTGTAAGTGTGATTTATGTATGATTCCAATCGCTTTTTATAGTCAAAATCAGCAAATTTGCCGAGCTCCGCTACGGGAGCGATGAGAAGTGAGGCAGGGACGTGCTCTGCCTCTCGTAAGCCCACAGTAACTTGCTGGAGCACGGGCACTAATTTAGCGCGGGCACTTATTTTGTGAGCGTGCTCAAGCCAGTTACTATGGGGTAAGGTGAGGCACAGATGAGATCTGCCTCACCTCAGAATGCGTCACCCCACAGAAACTGGCTGGAAAGCGGGCCCTAAGCGCATGCCTGTTACCATCTCACTGTAGGTCACCAATGTAATGTTTGTAGATCCCTTTATTACATTTATCCTCGCCATCCATAGTCCCTAAATAACTTATTTCACGTATATATGATATTTAGGCTCGCTGGTCTCATCATACAACGGCAATGAGAAAAGCACCAGGGGAGGCAGCCATAACCTCTGCCGCACTGAAGGGCGCGCACGTGAGCCCACAGGTTCTTGTTGCTACTGTAATTCTACGCAGAGACGGTAGACGCAAACAACAAACTAGACTTTTGAAACTACAGGAAGATAAGGAGGACTTTTACAAAAAAGTAATAGAGATTGTTGTCCAGAAGGATAGCATGGACTTCATCTTCAAGTCAAGGTAAGACCACATTTGTAATGAAAATGGGATCTTACTAAGAAAGAACAATCCAATATTTAGATTTTGGGTATCCTTTTGTTGAACGGTCTGTTTAAAATTAATCAGACTAAAAAAGCTTTTGAAAATAACCGAATATTTCGATTAAGGTCAAAATATAATATTTGTAAATCTGACTCAGTGAGTCAGTGCCTCACCAGCCATGAACCTCACCGCACGTCACTGCTGAATATCTGTCAGACGAATTAAGGAGTCACAGAGGGATGTGCTAAATTAGAATGAGTGTTTTTACTAAATGTAATGTGTCTAAAATAAGATCAAGCACATAATACATGAGATTAGAACACAATGTTAAAATGATGCTTGGAGATGGTTTGATCTCATTTGACAGAAATATCAGCGGTACAGAAATGTGCTGGAGCTCAGGTGCTGTACTGTATAGGGCTCACAATAACTGATAACACATTTAAGGAATACTTATCAACAATATGTCTTCATACTTTGTCATTCAAAAAACGAAATAGGTTCTTCATTTGATGTAAGAATAAAGTGAATAGCTGGTTCTGTTGGTGGGGAAATGCAGCTTGAGTTCAGGATGAGTTTTTTTTTTACCATTTTCTGAAATGTTCCAACCAAAGGATCAACTGTAGGAAACTGAATGCAACTGCAATGGAAACCGTTTTGAGAAGTAGTTCAATAATAACTGTCTCTTTTTCTTTTGCATTAGTTTTTCCAACAGAGAGGTTTGACTTTATGCTGAATTAAAGCAAACTCTATACATGTGATGACGATGATGATTATGACAATGATGATGATGACGATGACGATGATGATGATGATGATGATGATGATGTAGAAAGCCCATATTTTTCGAAATAAATCACATTTCCTCTGAACATTACTATGATCAGAGGAAGATGTGTTGTCGTTGTCCAATATATCATAGTGGAAAGATTGTTTGATAAAACAGTTGGAAAACTGACAGCTAATCACACTGAACAACTGAAACGTTGACTTTAAATAAATGTATTATGTCTACAAATTTCACATAACTGTATTAGGTTAGTTGAAATAAATTATGTTAAGTTTAAATACAAAATATTAGGTTCAACTGAATATTATTGCTTTCAACTAACCTAATCAAATTCAATAGTACACATTTGTTAACATTAATACATTTAATTTAAGTCAACGTTTCAGTTTTTCATTACAGTTGTCAATGCTTTTATCATCAGTTCATAAGTATTTTTAAAAACTATGTAAGTCTAAACTATGAAACCTGAGGTTCTGAATCTAGCAGCAGATTTTCAGGAAACCTTCCCACTTGTGATTCTCCAAAGATCCTCCTCATAACTCTGAATAAACTTGACTATGAATCTGTCAGAGCCCAATAGGAAAGGTTTATAAGAAAATGTTGCCAGGCCAAGTTGCTGAGTGTTTCCCGGCTCTGACAGACCCCCCCCCCCCCCCCCCCCCCCCCCCCCCCTCGGCATAGAGCAGCAGCTGGACACGGTTCTCACATTGCGCACAAAGGCTT